CCGACTACGATGCCGGAGAAACACTTTGGAATGTACCATGTCCACGGTCCTACTCTGGAAATGATGATGCATACAATGGACTCCAACTAGGTGCTTTCCTCTAAGTCTTCCTACCAATATGATCAAGTTGCGAAGACAAGGTCAAACAACTTCTATACAACGAAAGGAGACTGACCACACAAAAGGCCACATCATCTTGGTCTTCATACCTTCAAACAACTTCAGGAATAAGCAGAGTTAGTCAAATCACCACCAAATCGCGGTGATAATTCTCATCCTGACAATTTCTGGGGAGATATAACCAAATCTGTTTTCTTAGAAAAATCCCGTTAAAGATAGTGTTTTAGATGGAAACATCGTTTATTCTTGTCTCAGACACTGTCGTGGAGATACCTCACTTGATAAAACTCTTTGTTTGGGAGAAGTTTAAAGTTGGGCCAGAGTTAACTCGCATAATCGGTCCTAAAGACAAAAATTACATGGTTCACACAATTTTAAATAAACTAGGCATTCATTCTAATAGTAGTTGATCATAAGGTTGTGATTTTTTTAAATTTCGTTTGGCTTTTGCGAAGCATTTATACAAAACTTTGTGGAATGATAAATAACTTACTTCAAGTACATATGGTTTCAATTTTTTATCAAACATGATGTCGAAACCAAGGATCTCAAAGCATGCCGATGTGAGATTATGATTTGGAAAGCAGGTTCGATAATTGTGCTTGAGTACCGCAATGCTGGATAGCAAAGTTTTTACCACCACTTCATCGACACATTTCCAAATCTACTAGGCAATAGGAAAGAAATAGAAATATGAAATATATGGAAAAAGATAGGAAACAAGTCAAAATCCTAAGAATTATTAAAAATGCAATAATTCCTTTGTTACGATCTATGCATTGTTCATCATTAGGAACCTATTTATTAAATGTCAATAGCTTTATAATGACAGCAGAGATCAGGCTAAAGAATTAGAAATGCTTATACACCCTTTTACATGGCCGAAACTGTGAGAGTACAATTTGATTAGATTAGTCAAGTCAGACTATAACCAGGCTTATTCTGGATCTGTATTTGTTGATAGCTGAGTAATTGGTCACTAAAGGCATAATATTTCAAATCACAATATATGAAAATTCCCAAGCTGACTTCTAAGCTTATTAGATTAGTTTTTTTGCAATGCCTGATGCATATAAAGCAGTTGCTTGGGTTAATATGTTATCACTTAATTTTATATTTAGCACTTTAAACGGAGCTGAGTATTGCTAAAATTTAATTCTTCCATATCGACTTAACTGGGGTTTTACTTGAGAGACCTGGAAGACTTGAAGCTTTCAAATATTTTTTTGATTATATAGGTTTTATTAACAACCTGTTGCAATTTAATAATTTAGATTTGATTATGTCGAGTTGAACTGCTTTTTTGCACTTAGTTGGACGATTCCTATACTTTGCGATTTCACTTGATCCTTCAATGATTCAGCTCGAAATATTCCACATGGATTACCAGAATTTCTCCTCTGTCACTTGCAGCCATTATCAACGCTCACTCTTATAGAAACATTATTTTCCGTTACGTGAGATATATATAAAGAGCAATTTTTGCGTTCTTGGCATTATATGTTATGCTGTTTCGCCATAAAGTGGCTCAATAGCTGAATCAGTGCTCGAATTAATCTGCCGAAGTTAGAGCAAGTGCTTTTGGGTAACTTCTAAAATTATGATGTAGGATATAATGGTATATCTGTCGATAATTATGGATTTTGTGTTGTCCTAGCTTCAAGAGTCCGCTTCTCCTCCGTTACAATGCTAAATATCAACGTTTCTTCGTAATGCATGCCAATTATTAAAATTGATTTTTTTAAAGCATCCTTAAATGGTAAATTATAAAGAGTTAAATACTTTTGATAATTGTTGAATTACTTGACGACAATCTACTTTAAGGGCTTAATACAAGCATAGTCATGCAACTCCTTTGCGACAGAGTCAACTTATGATTATCTCATAGGGTATAGCCATTATTCTCATACATAAAATAATTATTAATTAAAGAGTTACTGATAATCTATAAAAATACTCATTCAAAATATCGAAGGATACACAAAGTCTTTTAAGCTTCTTTTGTATGAAGGACTGTGTCATAAAATTTATTCAATTAATATAAATTACAGTATAGCTAGATAAGAGATTATTTCCCACCTTCGCTAAATCGAATCCCTTACGCTTGAACCAGTGGTTCAAAGTGGTGATCCTCCTTTTTGTGCCTTCTTCCTCGTTGTCTCGCACGAACGCGTCACTATGCTTCTGTACCGCATAATTTGTCAAATGCATATAAACGTTTGATATGTTGTTTTCATTTGGCTCGGCGTAGCGCATGGTGGTAAACCGGACAAGGCCGTCACGAAATATAAAAACACGCAGGGGGTCACAGCTGGTAACTAGAACGTAGAGGCGCATATCGAATTTAAAGCCATCGACTAGTAAAGGCTAAGGAAGTAGACAGCAAAAGACAAACACAACGGGAAAAGGATCTATCATGTAGTAATTTGTCATTTAAAATCTAGCAGCATATATTTTTAAAAACTTTTTAAACTTTGTTGAATAAGGCCTAAGAATAAAATTGGTTGAAAATTTTATTTAATGAAATATTTTATACTAAATATCTTAACACCCAGCAGGCGCCTTTAATTTTCATCAAAACCAGATAATGAGAATATGTTTAACAGAGTAAATAAGTATGAGTTTTTGTATATAATAGAACAGATAACCCACTGTAAGGTGAACTCTAAAATGTATGCGCACTAATCGTTCGCTAAATTTGATGTAGAAGATCATCAGAGTCATCGGGATCATCATCAATATATTCTTCTGTAAAAAACTATTGAATTCTTCCGTTTATATAAAAGTGTGCCATTTATACTTAATAATTTTATGCAAGTTAGACTTCCTAAAATATACCCTTATTTATAATAGTCCTAAACACAGATTGCTTCGCTTTAGCTTCCTTCACAGTTTGTTAAAGGACAGTATAATTATTTTATTTGACACTTTTGACTGGAATAGTTTTAGGTGATCTGTTGGTCTATCCTAGTTTCTTTTCACTATAATGACTTTTATTTCGTATGAAAGTGTAAGAATAAGTGATTCGAAGGTCAATCTCATCAGAAGAGGACGGTTGAATCCCGTTTTACTGCGGCCATTTGACTTTTATACGACATTGAGATTGATGCAGTATGACGGTATACAACCGTCCTCTTCTGGCGAGATCGACATTCGAATCTCATTTTCTTACACTTCGCTATACATCTACAATGGACTTTTGTAGCCAGGCAATTGATTTTTGACCTTACTACACAATCTCATAAGCACCCATGGAAGGGTTCGAATATGAACAAGCGAGTTAAAACCAAAATCGCTGACCCTGGATTAAACGATTATATATCAACGTTGGTACATAAAAACATGATTTACTAGATAAAGCAAGCCTCTTACAACTCACATATTTTCGAGCGGATGCTTTTATGAATTTGGACCATTAAAAACTACGTCTTGACAACCATGTTTCTAATATCTGCAGCAAGAATATTAGTAACAATCAAATCAGTACTTTTTGAGTTTAACAGCAAATACAGAAATGTATGTTGATGAAAAATATCCCACATATTGATGTGGATTGAGAGAGTCTTGCCTTGCCTTTAAATTCATGCTTGTAGGGTAACCTAATAAAACTTACGGCAAGGGATTCATTTTATACTTGATAAAATAAAAATGAATGCAAACAATTATAGGTTATAGATAACATTTTCGATTAAAAATTTTTTAAGAAGGTAATGGATGGCCAAAGAAAGTATGCAAAATGAGTAAATTAAGTGCCCCAAGGCTGGAAAGTATAGTTGGCTAATGAAGTAGGTAGAAAACATTCATTATAGAATCTCGAATCTAGTCTTAAGATACAACTAATATCCCAAACATGAGTTCTGTTTAAATGTACTTTTCCAGACAAAGCATTACATCGAATTATACAACATAACTTTAGCGTAAATTGTGCCTACTTTAACAAGCATTTATATTAATTGTTCTTAGCAGTGCTATAAATAATATGAGGTAGATAAAAACTATAAGGGCTATTTCCGACATGCTACGTAGAAAAAATGAACCATTTAAACAGTTGGGAACATTTAATAATAAATACGGTCTTAATACAATTATCTTAGAACGTTATAAACATGAGCATCAAAGGAATTCGACAACATATGCTAACCAATAGGAAGTGAGGACCACAGTATTTCTCATTACTCACTTAAAAAAGTTAAGTCAAAATTATTTTTCGTATTAAATACCTTTCAATCATCGTAACTACGAGATAGAGGTAATATAGCTCCTATAAAGTCAGACTTACTTTGCTTATGTATACTTGGCAGACCATGTTCTCTGTCGGTCTTATATTCTTGGGTGATTTTGTTATCCAGATGCCTTTACCTTGACAGCCCGTGTCTGGCTTCAATATGTAGGTCTTGTGCTTTTTTGTCCTGCAATACGTTTGTAATTCTCCCCAGCTATAGAAGATAAATTTTTACATGAAATTTTTCGTATTATAACCGCTAATTTATTAAATGTTACAACCATTTTAGAGAAATAAGTTCTTTTTATGTACCGTAACAAAAACTCAAAAGGCTCAATTATAATCAAAATTATATATATACATAATTATCGTGACAAAATATTCAGATATTTGATAAAAAAGTATGTCTTTTATCATTTTTATAGTACTAAATTATGATATTAACGGCTTCTTCCATCGGGGAGAATCTATACAGTCTCATTAATGTACGAACACACATTATTTTCAATCGAAAGGATAAATAAGAGGATATTGTGGCCCCTATCAATGTCACAGTCTTCTTTCGTTGTAGAGACGTAGTTTGACCTAAAGTTATCAGCTTTCTTGTCTTGTCTATGGTGAGTTGTACTTTAGGGCCAATAATGGTAAAGCCCATTGATGATGCCGAATACGATGGCCCCGAAACTTCTGGAAATGTATCAAGCCAACAGCCCGATGCTAGAAATTAGCATGACTACTATGACAGAGGACTCCAGACAGGGTGATTTCATCTAGCTCAGACCAAGTTGCGAATACGAGATCAAACAACTTATACTCCTTTTCTCCATTTGCTTCTATGCTTATAGAAGAAATGCTTCCTAAAAAAAGGTATGTTTTGTTAAGGCGATATTTTAAAATCAAATTTAAGGATCTGCTGCATTCCTAAAAGAAATACTAACTAGAAAGTTGATCGTGCCGATTATTTTTTATTTATTTAGGCGTCTTAGCTAATTCTCATAAAACCAATAAGATAATGATGATGTTAGCTAAATGTTGTTTCTTATGAAACCGATTTTACGAGCATTATATTAAAGTAGTCTCTAGTTGTCCCCTGCCTAAAACGTAGATCTAGTGACATGCCAAACTTTATTAGAGATACTAATTGATAGAGATTGAGTTTATGGCTTATTGTGACATATTTTGTAATAATAAATGCAGGAATTAACTTATATTTAAAAATAAAATAAGCAGATCTTATGGATTACAAAACGATATAAACCATATATAAAACTATAAGCGGCGTTTTCTTGTCAAACTTTATGATTTGAAAATAGTTAGGAGTAAAATAAAATAAAAATTGA